CCGCGCGGCGGCACGAGCCTGGCTCGGCGCGGGCAAGGGAAGCGGGACGCCTCGCCCTGTGTTGGCTGCCGGGCGGGCGGCGGCCGCGGCACCTCGTGCGTAGCGTCGCTGGGGAAACTGAGGCTGTGGCGGGGAGGGACGCGCCAAGGTCACCCGGAGAGTCGGGCAGGGCGGCCCGGGGCGCGGGCCGATCGAGGGAGCCCTGGGCAAGGTTTTTGTTCCCCGCCGACGCCGCCTCCTTTGTGCGCTCGCGCCCCGCCCCGCCTTCCTGGGCCCGCGAGTCCCCCCGGACCGCGTGGCGGGGCCGTGGGGCCGCCCCGGGAGCGCCCAGCGGCCCGAGCTTGGTGGAGCCTCAGCTTCCGGTGGCGGTGGAACCCGTGACCGCCGAGCCCGCGGCCGCGCCCCCGCCCCGCGGGCGTCCGCACCTCCCCGGCGCGCCCGTGGGCAGGCGCCGGAAGGTGAAGCTGGCTCAAGACCCGAACCAGCGCTGGATGAATGCCGCTTTCCACCCTTTGACCCGTCGAGGGGGAAGGGGAGAGTTCAGGGCCTGGAGCCCGCGGTAGCCGTTTTTGTGGGGTTTTTCTTTTGTCTTACCCTTGCCGGTGCCCATATACCGTTCTGCCTCTGCGCCGAGTTCTCAGAGCCACACTTAGGGTCTCCGCTTAGGCTCCTGAGTAGTTGGGGAGACCGAGGCAGTCTGCGCAAGGTCACACACCCAGCCAGTTGACGACAGCGAGTGTAGAACCTAGGTTTTCTGGCTGCAGGACTAGGCCTTTGAGTTCAGTGCCCAGGAGTTTGGGGACCACTGGTAATGAAAGGTAGAGACGTTGAAGGAAATCGTTTTGTTTTTCTGGTGGTTTGTTTTTTACTAGGTGGGGAGACAGTGGGTTCGGTTTTATCTACGAGTTTGAGGTGAAATGGGAACGTTCAAATAGAAAGATGTATTGTTGTCTTTTATTTTTTATATTGCTTGGACTCGAACTTCCAACTCTGATTCAAAAATCGTACTTTAGTACAGTAGTTATCAACCTTCTTATGATGATCACCCCCTCCCCAGGAGCTTTTGAGACGTTGTTTTCATTGCCCTCTCCATGAAATCTTGATGCTGCTTGCGTACACTGTCTTTTTGTGTACGGTATGCGTATCTGTGCGTATCTCACCCATAAAAAGGGTGAGAATTTTTTGCCCACTAAATCAGCATATTTTTGAGGTCTTCTGTGTGTCGAGCTTTCTGCTTGGGGTACAGCAGTGAGTAGAATACGAATGGTACAGGCCCTGGTGGAGCGGAGCGGGGAGGGAATGAGAGAAATTCCTTGAGGTTAAAATACAGATTGTGCAAGAGATGGGACTGGGGATGTAAGCAGGAACCAGCTCACAAAAGGTCTTTGGTGTGCCCTGGAGTTAAGGAATTCAGAATTTATCTTAAGGCCAAGTGGGAAATCACTGAATTGAGTTCTAAGCAGAGAAGTGACACAGTTAGATTTGCATTTGAGAAAAATCAGGGGCCGGCCCCGTGGCTTAGCGGTTAAGTGCGCGCGCTCCGCTGCTGGCGGCCTGGGTTCGGATCCTGGGCGCGCACCGCTTCTCCGGCCTCGCCGCGTCCCACATACAGCAACTAGAAGGATGTGCAGCTATGACATACAGCTATCTACTGGGGCTTTGGGGGAAAATAAATAAATAAATAAAATCTTAGAAAAATCAGTATTCTATGAGAAGGATGGCATAGAAAGGTGGGCAAGACTAGTGGTCTTAGGATTAGTTAGGAAGAGAGATAAGGGTAGCTTGGACCAGGCTGGTGACTGGGGACCAAACTTTGTGTCAGTGATTGGCAGTTCTTCACTGGCTCTTTACTTAGAGGCTGTTAGCAGTCCATGTCCAGTAGTTCATACCCCCACCAATTTCTGGAAAAGATTTGAGGTGCTACTCAATGAAAATATGTTTACAAGGTAATTGGTTTGTATGCTGTATAAAAATGACTTTGTGTGTTCTTTGTATGTTACTAGTGACTTATTTTGAAATGATTTACCTACATCTTTCACTGTTCCCAAATTAGGAATGTTTGAAGGATAAGGTGGCTCCTGTAGAATATTACAGGATTGACTCTTCTGTTATTGAGATATAATTCACATATATGCTCTTGTAACTTGTCTTTCCTAAATAATTTATTTCTCAGCAGGGCTTTGGGAGTCGTAGAGCAAGGCATTTTGAGGTTTTCTCTCTGAAAAGGAATGCCCAGAGCACGGGTACTGCTGTACCCTGAGGTTAGAGTTCAAGTGTGAGAAAACATGAGGTTAGGATGGAGGGTCCCACCACAGGGATCTGGAATTTCCTTTGGAAGTGGTTTTCTTTTCCTAGGCATAAATAAGAATTGTCCAGTTTATTTAATACCACACCATGCAGAGTAGGAAGGGCCTGCAAACGTTTCAAAATGAGTGTTATCAGTAGCCTGTTTGTACAAAAGAGAAATTGTGGCTTTCCTGGAGTATTCTTTTTAAACCACATGGTTTCCTGGTGTTCCCACTAGGGGTACATTAACTGCAGAATGTACCACCAGATAGCTGAATAAATTGGCTTGCTGTATAGATTTATTTGACATACACAAATTTAAAATAAAGGAATGTCTGCGAAATGACATTATTATCTGCGAATGCCTTTTTGTTTTGGAATTGTAATAGCATTTCTTTATGGTGTTAGGAATGTGACTCAGTTGTCTGTAGGGGTTACTCTAGGTTTGTGATGTAATCACATCTAGTGTTGAGTAGTTTCTCCCACTTAACTATCACATCCACCCTGCCAGCGAGTTGTGGTTAGCTCTATTTTACATGTCCTGAAGCACAGGGACAGGTCACTTGCCCAAGGTCACACAGTTAGTAAGCAGACCTAGCATCTGAACCTTAGTCGCCAACGTCTTTGTTCCTTTTGCTGGACTTTGTCATTCACATTTTTCTGTGGTGGGAAAGCCTGTGGGTGGTGTTTCTAGTAGCTTCAAATAGTAAAAATAAAACTTAACAGTGAGGGATATTGTCTTTATTTTTATGTTTCTTTTTCTTTTCAAGTAATATTTACCCAGGAGGAGTCAGATTATAAATATTCTCAAGAAACTTAATTTTCAATGATTGCGTTGTATTCCCGAAGACCCTTGTTATTGTTTCTGAGTGAATCTCTCTCCTCCTGCTCAGCCAGGGGAGGTCGTCTTTAGGGCCTGGGCATTTTCCTGTCTGCTATACTTCATCTCTTCTTTTAGCCAAACTTGCTGAATTCTGCTGCTTGCCTCAGCAGATCAGTACTAAAACTTGCTTCCTTTCTAAGCACCTTCTTGATGTTTTTCAGTTCTTAAGTAATAAGAACTATTTGTTCGGGGTTCTTCCTCCGTGTTGAAAATGCCTCATGTAGAGCTGTTCTCTCCTGTTCTATCATGACCATCTGTTTTTAAGTCTCCCTTTGTTTCCTGATGGTACTTGCAATGTAAAGCTCCATTTCCCCCATCTCTGGAATTCTTCTTTTTCTCCCCCCTCGAAAACACTCTGCCATCTCTTCTAAGTATCCGCCGTCTCTTTCAAGCATCTAATGAGCTTGATAATTTAATTTCAGTTTGAAAAATATCTTTATTTAGCCAACATGTTTGTTCCAAGTGCTGTACTAAGAGGAGGGGTGCTGTAATAAGTATTTGACTTAGAGTTGTGTTTATCGTATTGAGTATAGTAGAAGAAGTGGTTACATCAGGACCAGGAGGAGTTAGAGAAACGTAAGTAACCTTTGCGGCAGGCCTTGAAGGATGAGCAGGAGTTCTCCAAAGGGGGATGGGGGTAGGGTGGTCTTTGCAGGCAAGGGAACAGCGTGTATCCGATTATGGCACTGTGATAGGAAAGAGCCTAGAGTGGCTGACTGACTCCCTGGGTACCTGGAGTAAAGTACAGTCAGTTCTGCTTTAAATGCTTGTTTGAAAGCATGAATTAGTTCCAACAGTATTGATATATTAGGGAACAGTTTCAACATAATGGGAATTTTGAGTTTGCTGTGCATAATTTCATCTATGGGAAATTATGAACACAGCAATTGGAACTCAGCTGAACCAAGCTTGACTCTGTTACGAGCCACAAGCATGCACATCTGATGTTACAACACTCACCTTACTCCCAATAACTCATGAGCTACACACCTGGGAAAGTGCCATAGTTATTGTAGTATATGTGCATTTCATAACCATTTAACATGTGTACAACTCTGCTGCCATTTTTGTTGGTTTATTATTTTGTGTGTGTGTGTGTATCAAAGTTTTTGAGTGTTGTACCCCTAATGCCATTTTTTTGGAAAAGCCCTGTGGGTTTTTTGGTATCGTGGCGATTTTTAGGAACACATGTCCAACTGTAAATGAGGCCAGAAAAGTAAGTGGCAGGTTAGGGAGGAGAGGTTGGCTGTACTATGTGAAGGCAATGGGTGTGATCATTTGGGAGCATTTGCAATATTCTTGGGTCTTTTGGAGCCTGGTGATAGTGTCTGCGTGCCTGTGCGTGCTAACATGTGAAACTTTTTAACTTCCTCAGGCCCACTTAATGTTCTCCTTTTTTTTTTTTAACACATTTTATTTATTAATTTTTTTGAGGAAGATTGGCTCTGCGCTAACATCTGTTGCCAATCTTCCCCTTTTTTTTTTCCCCCTCCCCAAAGCACCAGTACATAGTTGTATATATCATAGTTGTAGGGTTGTAGCTCTTCTTTGTGGGACGCAGCCTCAGCATGGCTTGATGAGCCGTGAGTAGGTCCTTGCCCAGGATC